TGTAGTATAACCCAGAAATTGACATTACCAATAGAAAGTTTGGGTTCTGACAGTCTCAGAACTATCTGAAAATGAGACATTCTGTACACATGGGAAGTCAGGACATAACAGCAGTGACAATTCAAAAACAGCAACAAGAAATCTTGTATTCATGCAACAGCTGCTATCCTACTTTTATCCTAGCCCTTATCACACTATAAGTAGCTAGGAATCTGACTGGTTTTATTTGCATAACAAAAATAGTCATCATGTGCTGACATGATAATCTGAGGTAGGTGGCAATGCCAAACTAGTACGTCTTAAGTCTACTGGACCATGTTAAATCAAATAAAAACGTGACTGTTAAAAGAAAATGTTACACACCTGCTGCATAAAAATGCGTACCTGAAATTGCAGAAAGAATTCTTCAGCCCTGACAATATCTTTGGCAAAATAAACAGGCACAGTAATCAGGAAATTATGAATTCCAGATTCTGTGATTTCTCTCAAGAAGAGGAGTGCTTTAACACACACACACACACACACACACACACACACACACCCCATATATACCCATGGAAATAATGGCCATTCTATCATTTTGACTGCCTGCCTTAGTTCATGCCTTCATAACACCCGGACTAGATGGCCTATAGGTGGGGATGTTTTGAAGGATGTCTTGGAAGCTTCAAAAGGTACACATGGCTCCTGGGGTCTGTCATCAGATCCACAAATCACCACAGCTTAAGAATCTGCACTGACTTCATAGTACCTCCCACTGTCTCTTCAAGTTGCTCTATTTGCAGTGTCAAACCCTGAACTATCTAGACCCAACATACCTGAGAGACCACCTCCACTTCAATGTCCCACTATGGCCTCCTAGACTGAAACAACTTACGTTTACAGCTGAAAATCCATGTTGTATTAGCAAACACAACACACAGAGCTGCCCATCAACTGCTAAATATCTTTCCCTTCCTCTGCAGCTCACTGGAACACAGCTGTGACCATTTTCCAGAAGTAACATGCATTCGCCTCCAAGTCTCTTGCCATTTTGATTGCCAAGAGGAAGGCGGCACCAGAGGATTTGGAGTTTCTAAGTACCTTCTTACCCACCCTGAGTTTTTGCAGTGTGATGGTCAATATGCTGAACAGTTAAAACAGATTACATACGAGTTGCATCCCAATAGGGGGCAGGTGACCCCAAAACATACATAAAAATTGCACTGCTGGATCAGACCACCCAGTCTAGTGATAAGTGTTCAAGTGTAGCTGATAAAATGCCTCTGGCACCTCAGTTAAAAAGATAGGCATCTTCTGAGGATTATAATCAGCACCTGATATACAAAATTACTATTTATTTACTTCATTTCTGCCATTTTATCCTCACAACAACCCTATGAGTGTAGGTCATTTATTTATTTAATTAGGCTAGGCAGAGTGTGTGTGACCAATGTGTCACAAGGACACCCAGCAAGGCCAGAGTAGGAGATTTGAACTTGGGCCCTCCAGTTCTTAGTCTGTCATTCTGACTACCACAATATACTGTTACTGTTCCCTAACAATCTGGCATTCTGCTTCTGCACATGCAGGTTCCACTCCGTGCAAACGTATCCAACGTGAATGTGGTGCTTTAAAGGGTCTGCCCTCCTGGCCCAGAACAAGTTTCTTCTTATCAAGACTTCCCTGGCATGCTGTGCCCAGAGGTTCAATCTCACACCATTGGTAAAAAATACTGTTTATTATTTGATTTATGCAGAAAGCTTGCACACCACCTTTCCAAAGGCAAGCTCCCAAAATAAAAACAAGTATAATAAACTTAATCAAAAATGACCACTGACATAAAGTTCTTGATTTGAGATTACTAGAAAGAGATGGAGCCACTCTCTGAAAGATGAGAGGAAGCACTCTGTCCAGACAAGGGCGAGCGAGCATCTACCTGGCCCACTACCCTACCTCCAACAGTAGCCAGCCAGAAGCCCCAAAGCAGGAGGGCAGATATAGGGAATGCACCCCCGTCCCGTTGCTGGACCCAGCGGCCTGTCCTGCAGATGGAATGCTCCCTACACAGTCTAGGGTTGCCAGCTTCCAGGTGGGGCCTGGAGATCTCCCGGTATTACAACTGATCTCTAGGCCATAGAGATCAGTTCCCCTTGAGAAAGTCCCCCAAATCCTTCCATCCCTAGGTTCCACCACCCCCAATCTCCAGGAATTTCCCAACCCAGAGTTGGCAACCCTAATGCACACAGAGGCTCCATTTCATATCACAGATAAGGCTTTGCCCGCCTACACCCAACAGTGGCCAGGCAGAGGCCTCTAGAAAGCCCTAAACAGGACCTGAAGAAAGAAAAGGCGGCCCTCCCAGGTGAACTGCCTCTTCACGTGGAGGCTCCACTAGGGCCACTCAAGACGCGCCTCCAAGGATTCGCGCCCTTTTCCCGCAACAACGTCACAAGCCCCACCCACCCGCCGAGTCGGGGAGGGAGGGGGGAGAGCGAACCCCCCCCCCCGCGCGCCTCACCACGTCGATGCTGACGAAGCCGGTGAGCACCAAGTCCTTGAGGAGCTCGCAGCCGATGCCTCCGGCCCCCACCACCAGCAGCCGCGCGCCGGCCACAGCCTCGGCTAGCTCCCCCTGTAAGGCCGCCATCGCCAGCCCGGAGGCCGCCTGCGAGAAGAGCGAAGCGGGCGGGAAAAGAAAAAAAGGGGGGTGGGGGACGGGTGGGGAAAGGCCGGAGAGAAAGAGAATGAGGAGCGAAAAGGTGGGGCGAGGGGCCGCGCATGCGCTCCTCCATCGCTCGCGGGGCCATAGAGGCGGCCCAGCGTGGCCTCTTGGTTCAAGTGGCGCTTCCTCTAGCGGCGTGGAGGGGAGCTGCATGTGGAGACGCCGCTTTTCCTCGTGGAGGGATGGAGAGGGTCTGTTGTTTAAAAGGGTAAAGGCCTTGTGACTACTTTGGACCAACCCCCCCCCCCCCCCATCTTGCTGCTTTAAGATTGGCTGGGTGAGTCAAAGTCTCTTGCAAACAAAAATCCAGACGCGCCTTGAGGACTAGCAACATGTATTTCAATATGTGCTCTTGTGAGTCACAGCTCACTTCTTCTGGTATGTGGAAAGAGGGTTGCCAAGTCCTGGCTGGGAAATTCCTGGGGATCTGAGGGGGGGTGTCCCTTGTGGAAGTCACATGACAGGAGAAATGCCAAATTTTTAACAGAACAAAGTTTGAGTCCAGTGGCACCTTTAAGACCAAAAAAGTTTAATTCTGTGCAAAATTAAACTTTGTTGGTCTTAAAAGTGCATTGGACTCAAACTTCGTTCTGTTGCTTCAGACCAACATGGCTACCCACCTGAATTCATCTTCATGCAAGTTTTTAACATCACTGTTTATTATTTAAGTCATTTTGTACCCCATCTTTCTCCCCAATGGGCCCCCCCAAAAAAACAGCTTCCATCGTTTCCCTCACCTTCATTTTATCCTAAAAATCCCACGAGGTACACTGAGAGTGACTGGCCCAATGTCACCCAACAAGGTACCATGATGGCACCAGTAAGGATGTGAACCCAGGTCTTCTAGATACTAGTCTGACTCTCCCACCACACCACACTGGCTCTATGTTGTCAACACTGGGATCTTAGGCAGCAGATCAAAAGAGCTGGGGCCCAGGAAAGTCAAACACTGGCAGGTCACTGTAGCAAGGAACAAGCCAAGGATCAGAGCAATAGAAGACTCCTCTCCACCGCCAAGTTTTCTGTGTATTTGCCAATCTGATACTCTTCTCAGCCTGCAGACAGAGACAGGAAGGCAGGAAACATGGCACCCTAGCATCACATATCTTTCTAAAGGGCAACCCTTCCTCAAATGGTGGCTCTGTAGGGACTCACGACTTAGCTTCAGGGGCCTCTGTGATCATGGCTTGAAGACCATTGGTCTCCAGAGTCTGCTAAAAGTATTTCATATCACCCGTGACTTGATCATTTTTAACAGGAGATATTGGGGATTGAACTTGGAAACTTCTTCCTATAAGGCAGCTCTGCCAGTGAGCCATAGCCACTCCCTTCTGGTAGACTACTTGTTACAGCAAGACAGGCAGGAAAGCTGGAAGCTAGGATGAGTTTTTGCTTGATGTGATCAAACTAGGAAAGGGCCTGAGAACATACATCTCCTACTTGAGGTGGATACCCAGCAGCTCTGGCCCAGGGTACCATGCATGGCTTGGACCCAAAGAACCTTTGACACTGAGCACTGGGAAGGGCAAGGAAGTATCTTGGGAGGGTAGCTACAAGAGCGGATGTGGCCCACTGGCTGTGGACCTGTCCTTCAGAGATTCACATGTACAGAGAAATGCCTTTTGAAGGAACCTGGGAAAGCACGGGGAGAGCAGACAGTTGCCCCAAAGAATAATTGGTAGCATCATACCTTTTTAACTCGGCCCCATCTCTGATGACTTCTCTAGAAAGGACTGCCCTCTGCCTTTCCTAAGGACATTTGCTGCTTGCGAAGCTCCGAACAAATCAGCCAGCATACAACTTCAGTAAAGTAAGCCTTTGACCACAACTGAGCCACAGGCACAGGACTAAGGTTTTACTTTGTGCTGAATTGTACAGAGATAGGAAGGCAGGATGTATTTAGGTAAGTTATATTCAGCCTTTGCCCCCTTCTCTCAAGGAGGCTAGCAACAATCCTAAAAACATTAAAACCATCTGTAGAATGCAATAGGACAAAATCACTCAGATCCTTCCAGAACAGAAATTTCTTGAGCATTCTGTCTGTAGCAGCAGCAGCCGCACTTCCCACGTTCTACAGCCTGGAGGCAGCCACTGGAAAGTCCCCCACAATTTTACCTCAGCCAATGCATGTTCCTGGGGGAAGGCCTTGCCCACTAATCTTCAGGACCAGGCAAAATGATATGAAAGTGGTGCTTCCGGTATTTTGGACCCAAGCCTGGAAATTGGATGTTTTTCAGTAAACACAACTTTCAGCCTTCTGTTTGTGAGGAACACACAAGACATTGCTTTTGGAGTAATAAAATACAAATTTATTTATACAAGAGATTAAATGGGATTTATTTAAACAGCTGCTGATCCGGATCTTCTTGTACAAAAATAAATTCTTCCAGGGGCACTGGATGATTAACTGGCCAGCAGCTCTTCTCACACGTATATATCAGTGCTGTTCCAAATTCCACTGACCAATCTAAGGAGAGGGAAGGGAAAAAAGCAGGTTTGCCGTTATAAAACCCTATTAGTTCCACAGCCCTTAAGACATTTGTGAAAAGGTCATTTAACTAACACAAGTGAATTTTCCCTCTGAATACTTTTAGCACATCTGCACAATTAAAAAAAAAAGCTATTGCAGGGGATAGCAAAATACAGTCCCTTTGGATTCAGAATAAATTCTAGTGTCCATCGGCATTTTAAAGACTAGGATAAGGAAGCTATGACTCATGAAATCTTGTACTGGAATAAGTTTTGTTAAGACTGTAGGTTTAGTTTTGCTGCCACAGACTAATGTGGTCACCACGGCATTCAGCAACTGTAGCGTTTTTCAGGACTTGTAGCATTAAATGCAAGACATACAAGATGATACCTAAGACAGCTTACAGTTCAATCATTTGCTAAGTCAGCCATGTACTGAAATAAACGTGCTTAAGCACACTCAGCTCTGGCTAGGATCTCCTGATTTGCAGGTAATGAAGATTTGTGCTTGAAGGGGTTGGTGGCTACACAGCTCTTTTCCAGCCACATGTAATGAAAGCTTATTTTTAACAAGCAATAGATACAACACCATCGGGCAAGAAGAGGTCAAGGATGACCATCTTGTCCAACTGCCACCAACTAAGGTCAAATGGACACACGCACACCACCAGCAAGCTGGCCCTTGACTACCTCAGAGTAATCCACAAAATCCAGACTGCTGCATGCCTGGCTTAAACAAAGAACAGGAGTAAATGAAGTCCCCTAAAGGAGCCTAGCAGGACAGAGCCACAGCCATCAGCATGGGTGCTGCAGCCATTTCATCCCTGCAAGGAAATTCCAGGCTCTTCCCTGAAACACTGAGCTTCCATTACATTAAAAAAACTGAAGTCTCTCTCCACCCTTTCATACCAGGTTATATGGCAGAAAACTGCTGAAGGTGAACACAGGCAGACTGCTTCAATTGTGGTGCATCAGTGATATGTATAGTCAAGATAAGCAGATGTGCTGTTTAACAACACGGGGACAAGGGACTTGTGATACGGCATTGTAATGAAGCAATAGTTAATCCTGATGATGTCAGTAAACAGTGGGAGATGGTAAAGTCAGGACCAGAATGGAACTGGCTCCTCTGGACTGGAAAATCCAGGAAGGGAATGAGTTCACCGAAGCACCATCTCCTACTGTGTGGTTCCTTTACTGTAATTCCATATGCAGTTTCTGCCAAAACAGCATCAACTGGTGAGTAGAGAAGAGCTCCTGTGTAGAACCAACCCAGGTCTTCAGGCCAGGGAGTACGAAGGCTCTGAGAGAGTTGCCAAGCCTTTGGGCCCAAACCCCACGACAGCAAAACTGGCCCCAAAAGGGAGTCTCATAAAAGCCCATTTTTCACCCACCCCTAGATCTTCCCTCCAGTGTGGCAATTGCCAGTGTCCTACACAATTATTGTCATGTTTGAAATATTAAATCTGTACTACTCTCATCTGTATATAAATTAGCATTTGATGGCTCTCTCAAGGCCTCTGTCTGGAATTGTATTAAATATTCTTCAGAAAAGAATGAAAAGCCATCTGCTGCCCTCTTAATTATAGCTCAAACAAGACCTAAGCTGAGAATGAAACACCTGTATTGATTTAAAAGCAGAGGATGGGGGAAACAGGTACATAAAAGATGCATGATGCAAATTGTCCCTGAGGGAGTCTTCTGAGAGAGATTGGGGGGTGGGAACTCCTTCATCTCAATGGGGCACATTTGAGAGAAGGCCCCAGAGGACTGGCCTGCACCTGTATGTGCCAGACAAGAGGCTGTGTGTACCCTTGGAGTGCCAGAGACTCATTTCCCACTTGCTATGATGCACCACACACACTTTGGTTCCCTACAAAAGCTGCTTTAGCAGAGATTGTATTTGATTCACTGACTGCACATTTCAAAGTATCTAAGAAACAGTTTGACCTGCCCATGGTGTGAAATGCTACTGTCACAGCTGGCCAGTTTTACACAGAAATTGTAATAGAGCTTTGCTTACCTTTATCCCTGTTCTTCAGCATGTTGACCAGGGCGGGCATAAGCTGAAATTCAAAGATTCTCTTGCTTTTGCAGTTATGGCAGGGCGGGACCGCTGTCTTGATGTCTGATGAGGGGCATGTTATAAGTAAAGGCTGGCCACCCCAGGAATACCTGAGAAGACAGAAACACACACACACGTGTCAGCATTTAATCCCAGTGTACAAGACATGCCTCACATCTGCATGAGACTAGCCCCCTCCGCCCTCTCTTTCTCACTGATGATACCCAGCGGTCCTCAGCCAGAGCCAGGGCGTCCTCCAACCTGGTGGAACTCTCTGCCAAATAACACCCATGCCCTGGGGGACTTAGTGCAATTCTGCAGGGCCTGTAAGACAGCGATGTTCTGCTAGGCGTTTGGTTGAGGACAGAGACGGTTTCCATTCCACCTGTCTCGCCCCTTTTTTTCCCGCCCCGCCCCCCCCGTCCCCCCCCCCCCGGCAGTTATACAACTGGAACTTTTTGTGTCATCAAGTTAGGCCAATTACTTCAACCGAGAGCCAGTAGGGCATAGTGGTTGGAGGGCTGGGCTGCGACTGGGGAGGCAGAGGTCCAATTCCCCATTCCACGACTCACAGAACCTCACTGGGAGACCGTGGGCCAGGCATTCTTTCTCAGTTTAAGCTACTTCACAGGGCTGTTATTCTGAGGATAAAATGGAGGCGAGGTGAACTGTAGGGCAGTGCAGGAATCTCCTGCCTGGAGAATTGGTAACCCAAAAGTGTTTGTGTGCTAAGAGAAGTCTGGTGATTCCTACGTAGTCAGTGTTGTGACCTTGGCAGATAACAGAGAGCTTACACACACACGCACACACAAACATTCCTTAAGGATGCTCTAATGCTTGTAACTCCCGGTGTATAAATAAAGCTGCTGCGTGAGAGAAGGGGGTTCCTTCCTTCCTTCCTTCCTTCCTTCCTTCAGATCAGTTCCTGCAGCCATTTGTGTCCTGTCGTCTTTGCATCGTGAACCCTGCACCCCACACCCCAAGGAGCAGCACCACAGTGAACAATGTCATAAGCACCTTTAAGACCACTGGACTCAAACTTTGTTCTGCTACTTCAGACCAACTCAGCTACCCCACCTGAATGTTGTAATGTAAATATCTAAAATATCTCTTGGCCACTGACCAAACCTTGACGGAGCAGATTTGCTATTTTCCTATAGCTGCCTTCTTGGTATTGCAGTCACCTTTCAACAGTTCTCTACACACACACACACACACAGAGTCACCTTTCAACAGTTCTACACACACACACACACACACACACACACACACACCCCTTACTTGGGTGGATGTTACCTTTCCTACTACTCTACCGGCTGAACAAAGTTTATTTATTAAAATATTTATACCACACCTTTCATTTCAGCCCAGTTTTAAAGCTCTCTTCCAATGTAAGGGGCCTTTTAAGTGGATCTTCCATCAGAGGAAGAGCCCACTACTTTTAAGAAGTGTCTCAAGACAGAACCAGTCAATTCTTGTCTAGTGCTCCCCTCCTTAACAGGGGGACCTTGAAATTGGTCATCCTACCTTAAGATCTGTTCTTGACAAGGGGCGATCCTTTTCATAAACTTGTGGAACACTTCATCTCTCTTTTCAACATCACTCTTCTCATATTTCTCACCTAAACTGTCCACCATGTTGCTGAGAATAAGAGAGTCATTGAGTTACACGGATGAACACATTCCAATTGGAACACATTCCAATTTTACAATATTCCTTTTCAAACTAGATCATCATGTAAGCAATTTTCTCTTTTAGGTGATTTAGCCTGTACTTAATTCTTGGAGGCTTCTATATATTAAGCATTTGATTGTTACCTTTAAATATGAATGTATGTTTGTAATTTTTATAGTATAATAACCAATTGACCTATTTTCAGCTTTCTGAGGAAGAATCATCGAAACGAAGAGTGAAATCCAGAACCTTCGTCTCTTACTCTAGTGTTATACTCTAGTCTGTAATTACATACTGATTCTTGTGGGGACAGCGAGCCTCTGGAGGCATGCCCGGAGTTCAATGTTCCCACAGGGAGATTGGGCAGTAGTGCGCGGTTACATCTGCTGAATGGCCTTTCGAGGATTGCCCAAGTGTCTGGGGGGTGGGACAGACAAGCTTCTGCAGATCTGTGTGTTGTGTCGTTCATTTGAACCCTCAAGCCTTCAGATTCTTGTAACCATTTTTGTAAACTGATGTTACTTACTTGTTACTAATGTGAATTATATTTTGTCTGCATTGTTTATGCAGTGTGTTCTTGTTCTATAGTCTCACCTTTCTGACATCAACAGTTCCAAATTGACACCCTCCCTCTGTTGATACTCCTTTAAGAGTTTTTGGGCATGATCTGTATCATCATTGCCAAGGTAATCGTCTTCCTCCACGGCGCTGATATAGTATGGTTGCCACATGGGAATGTTTTGCTCTTCCCCAGACGGATTATCAGTGCATGAGAGGCAGGAGATGCCTGGGACTTCTTGCAGGCTAAGACCCTGCAACTGAGATGCGCAGTCTCCCTCTCCGGGGAAGGGATCTGATGCTGCCAGCAAGCCAAGGCTTGGGCTGCACGTGTCCTCAGATGATGCCACATTGTTGTCTTCCCCCCAGTCATCCGCTCCATCATACCAGTCCTTGGCTGCAATCCGGCTTTCTTGCTTCTGAGAACACAAGAATGCAATTGTAGGTGTTCCAGGCATATTTTAACATGATGCAAGTCAGAAGATAAGCTTTACATGTAGCTGCAAACTTACAGACATCTTAAAAAATGACCACTATTGAAGTGAGGTATGTGATTACCTTGTTAAGGCTGCACCTAATAAATTTTGGGAATGAAGAATCATAGAACACAGCGAGACTCATCTGAGTATAAATTCAGTTGGGTAGCCCTGTTGGTCTGAAGCAGCAGAACAAGCTTTGAGGCCACTGGCACCTTTAAGACCAACAAAGCTTTATTCAAAGTATAAGCTTCCGTGTGCATGCACATGTGACTGTGACTGGCCCTTCCTAATGGCTGCCCCCCACAGTTCCCTCTAAGCTGTGCTATGGGGCACTGGTGCACAAAATTGTAACAGGCAGCACAGGGATTACTGCTTTCAGCCTGCAAGGCATTTTCCCCTTCCTTAGAAACAATGGAGGATGGGGTACCTCCTTCTGGGGCCCAGAGAGTTGGACCCCCTGGTCCAATCTTTTTGAAACTGGGATCCAATCTTTTTGAAACTTTTTGAAACTATTCTTGCGATAGCTACGAGAGTAGAAATTAATACTCTTTTGCTTTTATTTTCAATAGGTATGGACCAAAATTCCAAAACAACTGACTCCAGTGTAACAGGTAAGTCATATCCCGTAATTATTCAAATTTGTTGTAAAATCTGGTTCCAAAAGATCTGAATAGGTGGACAATACCACCAGCAATGTGTAAAGTCCCCAATTTGTCCCCAGTTTTCCCAGCATTTGGCTGGGATATTTGAATTTATTCTATGTAGCCTAGCAGGGGATACCATCTATGCAAAACTTTAAAAGTATTGAAACGGATATTAAATACCTTAGATGTATTATTCGGTGAGGCCCATATTGAATGCCAGTTTTCCTCAGTGAGAGGAACAGTACATTTCAACTGCTGTTGTTTTTGAGAACTAAGCATCTTCTCCTTAGATTTAACCAGAAGGATTTTGTATAATTTTGATATTAAGCCCTTTCCCTCCCCTACTGAATCTTTTAAAATTGACTCAAAATCCGTAAGTGGTCTTGAAAAGACCTCTACACATTGAAAGGCATGACGTAAACTGCTTATTTATAAAGACCAAATCCAAGGGATATTTTCTCCAACTTTTCTTTCTAACTCAATCTTATTTAATGGTGTTCCTTTATTTGTTGTCTATTATATGCTTAACACCTGCCTGTTTCCACGACATAAATGCATTTAGCTCTTTGCCAGGTAAAACCCATTCTTGGTTTGTATAAGTGGATAGTTGGGAATTTGGTGGTATTAAAAAGTTTCTGTTGTAATCCCGAATTTCCAAAGAATGTTTTAAAACTTCATTCTGTAAAGACATAATATGTCTATATTTAGGTAAGTTCCAGTATAATTCAGAGAGTGCATAAGGTTCCACATCAGATTCTTCTATTTGTTGCCCATTTAGCATTTTGTTTTGTGTTAAGATTCTGACAATGTTTGCCAGGTGGGTTGCTTCATAATATGTATACAGATCTGGAAAATTTAAGCCACCTTCTTTGGTTAAGCATCTTAATGTGGAGAATTTTATCCTAGGTCTTTTATAACCCCCAAAAAATTATTCATAGTTTTTTGCCAGTTGGCAAGATCTTTTTTACAAATACATACCGGGATTGCGCTAAATAAAAATAAATATTTTGGTAAAATAAAACTTTTAAAAATACTAATTCTATCAGCCCAAGAAAAACTGCTTTTATGCCAACTTTTTAACTGCTTTTTGGTGTCTTCATACAGGTTACCACAGTTACATTTAACAGGCCCTGCAAGTCAGGTGGAATTAGAATCCCCAAACATCTCCATTGTGTATATGGAAGCCCAAACAATTAATGCTGGGAGCTATGGAGTCTGCTCCCCACGCTCCCTTGACCTTCCCCCCCCCCAAGCCTCTATGGCTCAGTACATCTCTAATCTAACAATCCCACTTTAAAAGATTCAATCTTTTCCCCTCCGCTGTTGTCTTAAGCAGATATAGGGGTATCCCCTATAGGGACAGAACCTGTAACTGCCTCTATAGTGAACCTGATTCAGTTGCTCATACCCTTCTACGTTGTCCCCAATATTTTACCATGCGTAGCCACCTGATTAGTCCCCATTTACCTACCACAAGGAATCCAACTGACAACGATCTTAAAATTTTATTGTCTGATAAGTTCTCGGCAATTACTTTGTCTGTTGCCGAATTCTTAGCCTATGTCTGGAAGCTTAGGGTAAGGGCGTACAAGCCCTAACCCCCCTGTGTTCTTTAGAACTGTTATATTCTTAACTGAGTATATTATTTCCGAGAGGTTTCTAAATGATCCTTTGTTGGGGCAGCTTGGTGTAATTTATCATGAACCATTAATCTGTTTATTTGTTTTTCTAATGGTTTCACTGCCCTTCTTGTTGCTGTGTTATGCCAATAAAGGTTTATGTATGTAGAAACCCAATCAAATGGAAATTTTTCCTGTAGTCTTTTTGAAAGGACCTCATCAAGCATAATGGGGATAATTTTGGATTTAGCTATATTACCCCTTAAGACCAGTTAATAATTGTGACTCTGGAAAAACCTTGATCTTAAAGATGTTTCTGGATTGGCCAAGTATATTAATAAATCATCCGCATACAGGCTTATTGTATGTACTCATTGGCCAGTTTTAATGCCTGCAATTCCTGGATCAGTCCTGATCTTGTTTGCAAGAGGATCTATGGACAAGGCAAAAAGCAATGGTGACAAGGGGCACCCTTGTCTGGTACCCCTATTCATCCTTATCTTTCTACTGAGCACATTATTTACTCGGATTTTTGCAGAAGGAGTATTGTAAATAGCCTCAATAGCATTCCTAAACCGTCCTCCAAATCTCATTCTATCCAGAAGCTGTTTTAAATAATTAATTTCAATACTGTCGAAGGCCTTTTCCAAATCTACTGTGAGTAGAATAGATTTCTGTTTCTTAGACTTGCAAGAAGCAATGATATTTAAAGTTCGGTAAATATTATCCATCATAGAACAACTGGGAATAAAGCCAGTTTGGTCAGAATCAATATATTCTGCCATTACTTTTTGCAATCTGTTTGCTATTTTTTAAAATAACATTTTATTTTTAACTAAGACAAACAAACATACACAAGTTGGGGGGGGTTCCATTTCATCATTAAAGTATCTAGTTAAGTATCTCATACAATGTCTATATATCTATTTTCTACATTTCACCCCATTTCCATATATACTCTTTTGCAATTGATCCAAAATAAGGTTCCTGTTCCTTTCAAAATGGTTATATGTCAGTCTAACTTATAAGATCTTTAAAAATTATATAGTCTCTCTTGTCCAAAGGGTATTGACCTTCTTCTCTTGAAAATAAGTGTAATCTCACATATCCAGAAAGTTTTAACCATTTTTGGACGATTTCATCCTCTTCTTTATTCTCTGGTTTCTCCTCTTAAGGTCTTAATTCTGTGTCTTTTCCCCTCGTATGTAAGGAAAATAACTTCTAGAAGTAGCCCTCTATATTCAATTCTTTGGATGGTTTGAGGTTCCATAAATTCTTTATTTTCCTCTCTCTGAAGGAAAATTTCATTTTCTGCTTTAAGGATTTAATCTCTTGTCATTCTTTCATATAATCTCACATTCTGTTCTCCAAGCATTTTGTTTCTTTTTGTATACATTGTGTTCATTCTGTAGGCCGTGTCATTTTGCTTGCAGGCTTCACCTGTATTTTCTGTATCCATATCTCTCACAAAGATGTATGCCCTGTCAGTTTTCTCTCTCAGATGGCTGATCTTCTGCTGTAGAAGTAAATCTAGCTTAGATTGCAAAGAGTCCAGAGCCGTTTTCACAGCTTTTTCTACTATTGGAGTAATTTTTTCTTGTAAAGAAAGTTGGAGATCTGTCACGATTGGTGTTAGAACATTTTCCCCTTCTTCTACTCCAGCCATTTTAAAATATATATTTTTTAGGTCAAAAGACTTTTTATTTTCCATCATTATCACATTTTAATCTTTTTATCAATTGGTTGAATATTCCCTTTTCCCTCCCTCCCCCGAAAGGCTTCCCGCAATGCACTTCCCTCATGTCCCACATAGATAAACTCAGGATAACATCAAGTACTTAATATTGTTCTAAACATAGTAAATTTTGTCTCACGTCCCAGTTCTTTTCTAAATATATCTTAAAGTCCTTCCATTCTTCAAAAAATTCTTGGTCCTCTTTATTGTTCAACTTTTTGGTTATTTTGTCCATCTCAGCCATGAACAGAACTTTTTGTATCCATTCTTCCAGATCTGGTATTTTTTCTTGCTTCCAATATTGAGCATATATCATTCTTGCCGTTGTTATCAAATACCAGAACAGTGTCTTTTTTGTTACATTCAGTTCTTCCATTTTTAAACCTAAGAGCAGAATTTCAGGTGTTTTCTTAAAAGAACATTTTAGAATCTTTTGCATTTCACTGTGGAC